AAAACCTTAAGTTACAAGAAGATACAAAAACAGGAATATACATTCCATTCAGCACAACTTATTTTATCAGCCATTTAAAGAAATCAGAATCTAACGCATCTCTAGCTAGATTACTTACTAAATTCTCAGACTCCATTCCTGTTCTGTTCCCGGCAAAAGCATCACAAAGACAGAGTGAGCCTTTGTTTCTCCCCCCCCCCCTCCAGCTTTTGAAAGTATCTTGTCTCCTCATTGGTCATTTTGGTCAGGTGCCAGCGAGGTTATCCTAGCTTCTTAACCCTTTACAGGTGAAAGGATTTTTCCTCTGGCCAGGAGGGATTTTAAAGGTGTTTACCCTTCCCTTTATATTTATCACAATGTTGAATAGGACTGGTCCCAGAACAGACCCTGCGGGACACCACTATTTACCTCTCTCCATTCTGAAAACTGACCATTTATACCTGCCCTTTGTTTCCTATCTTTTAACCAGTTACCAATCCATGAGAGGACCTTCCTTCTTATCCCGTGGCAGCTTACTTTGCATAAGAGCCTTTGGTGAGGGACCTTGTCAAAGGCTTTCTGAAAATCTAAGTACACTATTTCTGCTGAATCTCCTTGGTCCATGTGCTTGTTGACCCCCTCAAAGAATTCTAGTAGATTGGTGAGGCATGATTTCCCTTTACTAAAACCATGTTGACTCTTCCTCAGCAAATTATGTTCATCTATATATGTTCATCACTCCTTTTAGTTACCTGCTACACTGTCTAATCCAGCTCTTTGCTCCTTTTCAACTTCAGCATCCCGCCAAGGGCCTGTGCTCAGGTTTGTTACTCAGAGATTTGGGAGTTGGGAGAGTCCCAGCTCAGCTCCCTTGGACTAGTGCCAGATTCTCGTTAAAGACCTAACAGTGTTATTTGTCACTAAGGCACAATCTCTAACTGCCAAAAGAGAGGGCTCTGAGACAAGGCAGCAGGGCGGGAGAGGTCTGTATGAAGGGAGATGGAAAAGGCTGGGACTGCAAAAGGAGATGAATGAGAGAGGATGTGCTAGAGGCTAGATATGAACGACTGCTGAGGAAAGATAGAACAGGACCTTCCCTTTGTAACCCCAGATCCAGGTGGGATCGAAAGCAGCCCTGGGTTCACACCCACACCCTGACGTGTGGTTGAAGTGTGGTTACCAGCTGAGTCCGAGGACGGGGTAAATCTGTGTCTCAAAGACATAGGACAGGCTAACTCCTCTTGTCAGGTGTGATCAAAGCTGATGGGCAATGGGGCTGGTCTTTGGCAGCAGATGTGGGGGGTGGGAAGGTGGGAACAGAGCAATCTGTGTTTTGGCTAACCACAGCATGCAATGTCTGTCACCTCAAGACCCCGTGTCTCTGTCCTCGCAGCAGGAACCAACTTTATCTAGGGGTGACCCTCTGGAAACTGCATATCAAAGGGTGACCGAACTATACGAGTGAGGGCCACAAACACCCCTCTTTCTTTCTCCCTGTCTGTCTCCCTCATTTTCACCTGAGACAAAGGAACCAGCTGTCGGGCTCTGACCTGAGCATGTGGTCAGCCCCTTTGCTGGGACCATGTGGGAAGAATTTTCCCTTAAACTAAGTTTAGCTTGTTAAGATTTAGCTGCTGGGAAGCATTTTATCTTCATTTCTCTTGTGCCCATTCCTGACATTAATGCCCGATGCTCAAGCTCGCTTGAAATCTCTCTCATTGTAGTTAAATGAATGTCTTTGATTTTTTAAGCTAAACCCATACAGGGCTGTGTTTAAACCGAATCATTTGGTAACTCCAGTTAAAGTAGCAAACTGGTACATATTGAACCCTGACAGGGACAATGGCCCTCTGATGGGCCGGTCAGTGCAGAACAACCGTTCTGGGGGAATTCGGGACTGGGAATGTGCTGGGGTCACCCTGCAGGCAGTAACCAAGGCTGGTGGGGGCCAGAGCACGGCTGGTGTGTCGCTGGCAGGCTGCTGACACAGGGCTGTGGCTAGACACACTCAGGGTGTGACTTGCAGGCTTGTAGCTGGTTGTGAGCAGCCGAGGTGGGAGCCACACCAGCAAAGCATGGGGAGGCACCCAAGGTTAGAGGGCAGGTGGTGACAGCCTCTTGCTGGTTGAGATGCCACCCCGCCTCCCCCCCCCCCCGGGCATTGAACATGGGCATCCAATTTAACTCTCTCAGGATTCGAGCCTTTGATCATTTGCATCTAAAGCACAATCCCCCCCCCACAGACCGTCCAAGAGGGAGCAGACCCATCCTGCCAATTAAAGTGATGCCGAGTGGTCTCTGGAGCTGGATTTGGGCGCCAAGATCTTTGGTGACCTCAATTCAAATCCAGCCACTGCCCCCGGCCCCCTTTCAGAGAGATTCCACAGAGCTTCACACAAATGAAATGGGCGCTGGGTTTAGACATTCAGGGCTAGACTCACAACAGCCTAAGGGAATTAAGAGCTGGCAGAGCAGGACCCGCAGCCCCTCTGGAACTCTTTAACCAGCTGTGGCCACCCAGCCTGGTTTGCTCCTGTCTTTGGCTCTAGCCTTTTTCTCCAGGCCATTTGCAAAACTCTAATGATGGGGCTTATCCGGAATTTGAACCCAGGACCTCTTGCACCCAAAGCGAGAATCATACCCCTAGACCAACAAGCCAGACACATAATATTGTTGCAGTGCCCTCTCTTAGTCAGGATGTGTCACTCTGCCCTCAGGCACATCTGGCTCTTCAATGACTGTCTCCAATCTGCAGGATCCTCCTCTCATTAGTGTCTCTGGCGTTGGCATCAGCCCATGGAACTCTCTGCCACTGGATGTTACTCAGGCTGACACCTCAGCTCCAGGCATCACAGGGCTCCTTCCTGTCTCTAGTGCTCCTGCTTGGCTCTGTCAGGATTGGGCGCCAGCTGTACTAAGGCTGTGGTGAGTTCCCCAGGGCTGGCTTCATTCTTCCAAATGAGATTGTTCTATAAGTGGCAAATTGAACAACATTGTCATGTCATTGGGGGTGACCTGTGGATTTAGACTGACTTTGTGACACTGTTTCTCTAGCCTCAGTTAATCATTTTATCGTACGTGATGCTGGGCTAGACTTGATGCTTAGTTTTAGTGCGGGTAATTCTATGTAATCAACAGATTGCATCATTCCTTTAGTTACCTGCTACACTGTCTAACCCAGCTCTTTACTCCTTTTCATCTCCAGCATCCCTCCAATGGCCTGTGCTCAGGTTTGTTACTCAGAGACTCAGAGGATGGGAAAGCCCCAGCCCAGCTCCCTCAGTCTAATGCCAGATTCTCATTAAAGAACTAACCGTGTTATTTGTCACTAAGGGTAATCTCTAACTACAAGCAGAGAGGGTTCCGAGACAAGGCAGCAGGACAGGTGCGAGTGCCATGTCCAGAAGATGGAGAAGGCTGGGCCTGTGAATGGAAATGAATGAGAGGGGATGTGACAGAGGATAGAGATGAACGGCAGCCTGGAGAAGGGAAAACGGGACCTTCCCTGGGAGGACACCAGAACAAGGGGATGTGGAACAAGTGCAGCAGACTCAAGTCATGCAGGATTTGAGTCTGCCCCTTCTTATGGTGAAAGCAACCAGCTCACCGCAAGATCTCCCAATGGTGGAGAGACAGGGCTTGGAGCCAGTGAAGTAGCTGAGTGGTACAAGTGACTGGATTTAGGCTCGAGTGGATTTGGAGATGAGAGCTCGAATCCTGCCAATGCCATGGGCCCCTCATCAGATGGATTTCACAAACCCTTGTGCCAAGGGGCGGAGGGCTGCATTTAGACATTGAGAGCTTGTTTTCACAACAGCCAAAGGGAATTAGGCACTCACTGGTGCAGGACTTTCTAACCCCTTTGCCTGCACCCGTCAGTTCTGGGCCCTTGTAGCGCTCGTTAACCCACAGTAGTGCCTGGGGCTTCCCCAGCCTGCCGGCACCTCTCCATGGCTGGAGCCGCTTTCTAAAGGTAACTTGCAAAACTAAAACCTACAGACTTCTCAGGGATCTGAACCCAGAATCTCTCGCACCCAAAGAGTCATACCCCAGGCTAGGGAGCAATGTTCAGCCATCTTTACTAGCTGCTTTCCACTCTCATGGGTATCCCATGGAACTCCCTACCACTTGATGTTACTCCAGCTGACGATTCAGTCTGTGAAAGTGCTTTTCTACATCTGTCACAGCTCAGGGCAACTGCCCTGTCTTCTCCTACCATGGCAGGGCAGGGACCTCCACATGCAGGCTTCTCCTCTCTTGGGTGGAGACCCACGTCTCTCCCCCGTCTCCCCGGGGCCTCTCCCAGCTGCATATGAGCTCTCCCTGGCTCATTCCCAGCAAAAGACATGCTGCCCAAGCCGGTTTCTCTTGCCTTTTCCTCTGAGACTAACCCCAGAGTCATTGCCAGTGGGTCGAGTTACCACCCAGCTCAGCCTAGTCCTGCCCATGTGTTCCTAGATAAAAGCTTCACAAAGAAAACCCCACTAGTCCAGCCCTCCAAAGGCCTGGGGCAGGAATCGGCCTGCCAAGCCCCACCCCAGAACTTTCCCTGTGGTCAAAAGTTCATCATAGCTCTAGCTTGGAACAACTGGGAGGGGGCTTGAGATGGGGGGCCTGAGTCCTTCCAACCCTCTCCTATGCCCTGGGACCCTCCATGGGTCCAGCCCGTTTGCTGGCCCAGGCTATTGTGCTGTGGCCAGTGGTCCCTGGAGAAGCCAGTCTGCACCAGCATAGCACAATGTGGAGGAAAAATTCAGTGGACCCAAGTAGGCCTAAACTTCCCAAGTAGGCCTAAACTTTGGTCAAGCTAACTGCATATATGAAGCATAAGAAAAGAGTGTGGAAAATTCCATGGTAAGGCAATTGCAGCAGCACAGCTTAAGAAACATTAACCGCAAAAGAACACCTGTCAATAACAGGAAAAGCTTGTTTTGCTATATTCCAAATAAGGTAATTAAGACAAAAGTATGTGTAATTTGTCTGAGGTTTTAAGCTTTAAAAAACTGTGTGTGCTTTGCATCGGGGGGCAGCTACTTAGAGCTGTTACCCCTGCGCTTGTAACCAATAAAGGAGCCTCAGGCTTGGTTCTGATCCAAACACAATGTGCAGTTAATTTTTCCACCACAATAGGCACCTCGCCAAGGGGCTGGTAACTGATGGGATGACACTGGAGATGCTACGGACCATGCCGCAGCCCCGGCTGCATGTTTAATCCAACGGCCCCCAAAGGCACTCTCATAAATATAAAGGGAAGGGTAAACACCTTTAAAATCCCTCCTGGCCAGAGGAAACACCCTTTCACCTGTAAAGGGTTAAGAAGCTAGGCCCTGGTCTACAATAGGAGTTTAGGTCGAATTTAGCAGCGTTAAATCGATGTAAACCTGCACCCGTCCACACGATGAAGCCCTTTTTTTCAACTTAAAGGGCTCTTAAAATCAATTTCCTTACTCCACCCCTGACAAGTGGATTAGCACTTAAATCGGCCTTGCCGGGTCGAATTTGGGGTACTGTGAATGCAATTAGACAGTATTGGCCTCCGGGAGCTATCCCAGAGTGCTCTATTGTGACCGCTCTGGACAGCACTCTCAACTCAGATGCACTGGCCAGGTAGACAGGAAAAGGCCCGCAAACTTTTGAATTTCAATTTCCTGTTTGCATGGTCACCTGCAGCTTGCCACGCTGGTCAGAAGTCATCAGCAGAGATGACCATGCTGAACTCATCAGCAGAGGTGACCATGATGGAGTCCCAGAATCACAAAAGAGCTCCAGCATGGAACGAACGGGAGGTATGGGATCTGATCGCTTTATGGGGAGAGAAATCCGTGCTATCAGAACTCCGTTCCAGTTTTTGAAATGCCAAAACATTTGTCAAAATCTCCTAGGGCATGAAGGACAGAGGCCATAACAGGGACCCGAAGCAATGCCACGTGAAACTTAAGGAGCTGAGGCAAGCCTACCAGAAAACCAGAGAGGCAAACGGCCACTCCAGGTCAGAGCCCCAAACATGCCGCTTCTATGATGAGCTGCATGCCATTTTAGGGGGTTCAGCCACCACTACCCCAGCCGTGTTGTTTGACTCCTTCAGTGGAGATGGAGGCAACACAGAAGCAGGTTTTGGGGACGAGGAAGATGATGATGATGAAGTTGTAGATAGCTCACAGCAAGCAAGCGGAGAAACCGGTTTTCCCGACAGCCAGGAACTGTTTCTCACCCTGGACCTGGAGCCAGTACCCCCGAACCCACCCAAGGCTTCCTCCCGGACCCGCCAGGCAGAGAAGGGACCTCTGGTGAGTGTACCTTTTAAAATACTATACATGGTTTAAAAGCAAGCATGTTTAATGATTAATTTGCCCTGGCATTTGTGGCTCTCCTGGATGTACTCCCAAAGCCTTTGCAAAAGGTTTCTGGGGAAGGCAGCCTTATTCCGTCCACCATGGTAGGACACTTTACCACACCAGGCCAGTAGCACGTACTTGGGAATCATTGTAGAACAAAGCATTGCAGTGTATGTTTGCTGGCATTCAAACAACATCTGTTCTTTATCTCTCTGTGTTATCCTCAGGAGAGTGATATCATTCATGGTCACCTGGTTGAAATAGGGTGCTTTTCTTAAGGGGACATTCAGAGGTGCCCGTTCCTGCTGGGCTGTTTGCCTATGGCTGAACAGAAATCTTCCCCGCTGTTAGCCACAGGAAGGGGAGAGGGGCTAGCCACGTGGTGAGGGGAGGCAAAATGCCACCTTGGAACGAAAGCACATGTGCTGTGTATGTAACGTTAACAGCAAGGTTTACCATAAAAGAGTGTAGCCATTGTTCTAGAAAATGTGTCTTTTTAAATACCACTGCCTCTTTTTTTTTCTCCACCAGCTGCATGTGTTTCAAGGATCACAGGATCTTCTCCTTCCCAGAGGCTAGTGAAGATTAGAAGGCAAAAAAAATGCACTCGTGATGAAATGTTCTCTGAGCTCATGCTGTCCTCCCACACTGACAGAGCACAGACGAATGCGTGGAGGCAGACAATGTCAGAGTGCAGGAAAGCACAAAATGACTGGGAGGAGATGTGGCGGACTGAAGAGAGTAAGTGGCGGGCTGAAGAGAGGGCTGAAGCTGAAAGGTGGTGGCAGCGTGATGAGAGGAGGCAGCATTCAATGCTGAGGCTGCTGGAGGATCAAACCAATATGCTCCAGCATATGGTTGAGCTGCAGGAAAGGCAGCAGGAGCACAGACTGCCGCTACAGCCCCTGTGTAACCAACTGCCCTCCTCCCCAAGTTCCATAGCCTCCTCACCCAGGCGCCCAAGAACGTGGTGGGGGGGCCTCCGGCCACTCCACCCCAGAGGATTGCCCAAGCAACAGAAGGCTGGCATTCAATAAGTTTTAAAGTTTTAAACTTTTAAAGTGCTGTGTGGCCTTGTCCTTCCCTCCTCCACCACCCCTCCTGGTGCTTCTCTCCTCCACCACCCCTCCTGGGCTACCTTGGTAGTTATCCCCCTATTTGTGTGATGAATGAATAAAGAATGCATGAATGTGAAGCAACAATGACTTTATTGCCTCTGCAAGCGGTGATCGAAGGGAGGAGGGGAGGGTGGTTAGCTTACAGGGAAGTAGAGTGAACCAAGGGGCGGGGGGGTTAATCAAGGAGAAACAAACAGAACTTTCACACCGTAGCCTGGCCAGTCATGAAACTGGTTTTCAAAGATTCTCTGATGCGCACCGCGCCCTCCTGTGCTCTTCTAACTGCTCTGGTGTCTGGCTGTGCGAAACCAGCAGCCAGGCGATTTGCCTCAACCTCCCACCCTGCCATAAACGTCTCCCCCTTACTCTCACAGATATTGTGGAGCGCACAGCAAGCAGTAATAACAGTGGGAATATTGGTTTCGCTGAGGTCTAACCGAGTCAGTAAACTGCGCCAGCGCGCTTTTAAACATTCAAATACACATTCTACCACCATTCTGCACTTGCTCAGCTTGTAGTTGAACAGCTCCTGACTACTGTCCAGGCTGCCTGTGTATGGCTTCATGAGCCATGGCATTAAGGGGTAGGCTGGGTCCCCAAGGATACATATAGACATTTCAACATCCCCAACGGTTATTTTCTGGTCTGGGAATAAAGTCCCTTCTTGCAGCTTTTGAAACAGACCAGAGTTCCTGAAGATGCGAGTGTCATGTACCTTTCCCGGCCATCCCACGTTGATGTTGGTGAAACGTCCCTTGTGATCCACCAGTGCTTGCAGCACTATTGAAAAGTACCCCTTGCGGTTTATGTACTCGCCAGCTTGGTGCTCTGGTGCCAAGATAGGGATATGGGTTCCGTCTATGGCCCAACCACAGTTAGGGAATCCCATTGCAGCAAAGCCATCCACTATGACCTGCTCATTTCCCAGGGTCACTACCCTTGATATCAGCAGATCTTTGATTGAGTTGGCTACTTGCATCACAGCAGCCCCCACAGTAGATTTGCACACTCCAAATTGATTCCCGACTGATCGGTAGCTGTCTGGCATTGCAAGCTTCCATAGGGCTATTGCCACTCACTTCTCAACTGTGAGGGCTGCTCTCATCTTGGTATTCTTGCGCCTCAGGGCAGGGGAAAGCAAGTCACAAAGTTCCATGAAAAAGTGCCCTTACGCATGCGAAAGTTTCACAACCACTGGGAATCGTCCCTGACCTGCAACACTATGCGGTCCCACCAGGCTGTGCTTGTTTCCCGAGCCCAGAATCAGCGTTCCACTGCATGAACCTGCCCCACTAGCACCATGATGCCCACATTGCCAGGGCCCGTGCTTTGAGAGAAGTCTGTGTCCATGTCCTCATCACTCACGTCACCGCGCTGACGTTGCCTACTCGCCCGGTATCACTTTGCCAGGTTCTGGTGCTGCATATACTGCTGGATAATGTGTGTGGTGTTTAATGTGCTCCTAATTGCCAAAGTGATCTGAGCGGGCTCCATGCTTGCCGTGGTATGGCGTCTGCACAGAAAAAAGGCGCGGAACGATTGTCTGCCGTTGCCCTGACGGAGGGAGGGGCAACTGACGACATGGTTTACAGGTTTGGCTTACAGGGAATTAAAATCAACAAAGGGGGTGGCTTTGCGAGAAACTGAATGGCTCCCTCAAGGATAGAACTCAAAACCTCAAGGATAGAACTCAAAACTTGGTTTAGCAAGCCATTGATTTCACAGAGGGAGGGAGGGAGGAGAAAATGAATACAAAACAAATCTGGTCTATTTCTTGTTTTGAGCCACTTCATCTATCTTTATATATCTTGCTGGCAGCAGACTGTGCAGTACGACCACTAGCCATCATCAACACCTGGGTGCTCGGCAGAAGACGGTGCAGTAGGACGACTAGCCATTATCTTCTGCTGGCTGCAGGTTAAAAGACAGTGCACTGCCGGTAGGACTGAATCGCCACGAGATGAAACTTAAAAGGGAAATGACCTGGCTGAGTCACTCCCATGTTTGCCCAGGAGCCCTATTAAAAGAGCACCCAGGACTACGTTGATGACGGCTACCAGTCACACTGTACTGTCTGCTGCCAAAAGGCAATAAACTGCTGCTGTGTAGCAATGCAGTACGGCGTCTGCCAGCACCCAGGAGACATACGGTGACGGTTTGCTGAGCGGGCTCCATGCTTGCCGTGGTATGGCGTCTGCACAGGTAACTCAAGAAAAAAGGCGCAAAACTATTGTCTGCCCTTGATTTCACAGAGGGAGGGAGGGATGGAAGGGGGGCCTGATGATATGTACCCAGAACCACCCGCGACAATGTTTTAGCCCCATCAGGCACTGGGATTTCTACCCAGAATTCAAATGGGCGGCGGAGACTGTGGGAACTGTGGGATAGCCACCCACAGTGCAACACTCCAGAAGTCGATGGTTGCATCGGTACTGTGGACACACTCCACCGACTACATGCACTTAGAGCATTTGTGTGGGGACACACACAATCAACTGTAAAAATGCTTTCTACAAAACCGACTTCTATAAATTCGACCTAATTTTGTAGCGTAGACATACCCTAGGATAACCTCGCTGGCACTTGACCAAAATGACCAATGAGGAGACAAGATACTTTCAAAAGCTGGAGAGGGGGAGAAACAAAGGTCTGTGTGATGCTTTTGCCAGGGACAGAACAGGAATGGAGTCTTAGAACTTAGTAAGTAATCTAGCTAGATATGCGTTAGAGTCTGATTCCTTTAAATGGCTGAGAAAATAAGCTGTGCTGAATGGAATGTAGATTCCTGTTTTTGTGTCTTTTTGTAACTTAAGGCTTTGCCTAGAGGGATTCTCTATGTTTTGAATCTGATTACCCTGTAAGGTATTTACCATCCTGATTTTACAAAGGTGATTCTTTTTACTTTTTTTCTATTAAAATTCTTTTTAAGAATCTGAATGCTTTTTTTCATTGTTCTTAAGATCCAAGGGTTTGGGTCTGTGTTCACCTATGCAAATTGATGAGGATTTTTATCAAACCTTCCCCAGGAAAGGGGGTGTAAGATTTGGGAGGATTTTGGGGGGAAAGACGTTTTCAAATGGACTCTTTCCCAGTAACCAGTTTTAGACGTTTGGTGGTGGCAATGATAAAGTACAAGGGCAAAAGGTAAAATAGTTTGTACCTTGGGGAAGTTTTAACCTAAGCTGGTAAACGTAAGCTTAGGAGTTTTCATGCAGGTCCCCACATCTGTACCCTAGAGTTCAGAGTAGGGAAGGAACCTTGACAGGCACTAACCCTGCTGCCATTTGAAAGCGAACAGTGAAATGGTCTTGGGCTGGTTTATGAATCCGGGAAAGGTGAAGCCGTCACAATTACAGGTGCCGGGAGCTGCAGATGAGCCAGCACGCTGCCTGGTGGAAAGGTGTCATTGTCCCAGCGCTCTCCAGCTGGGCTCCAGCATGCTTAAACAGCCAACAAATGCATCAGACATTAAATGGGGACCCATTTTCTGCCTTGGGAGCCTGTTTTACATTTGGGCTGAGACTTGGGGGAAAAGGAGTGGGGCAAATTAGCTAGCGAGCGGGTGCATCTGGGGACAGCTAGGTGGATTGATTAGCAGATCAATGCAAGAGCCAAGGTGTGTGACGCTGGCAGACCAGGTGGCAGCTCATGCCAAGGCCCCACTGACCCCTGGCAAATGCATGGCTGGCACCAGGCCGGCTCATTGGCATTAGCCGTGTTAAAATAGATGCTATATTTCTAAGGCTGCGTTCAGTGTTTGGCCTTTATGAAACGCTTGGGAGCTGCTGCCTGAATTCATCTCATGCACACCAGCTGCATCCTGTGTTATGTCCCAGTGTTTGCTCTGTAACTACAGATGTGTCTGCTAGGAAAGTGGACAGCCCCCCAGACAGGAGAGAAGGAACACCAAGAGTGAGCTGCTAGTTCACCACGAGAGGCGTCAGCTTGTGCCCAGCAAAAAAAGACCCATAGACTCCAGACGAACCATCGTGGGACACCAGTGGATGGAAGACATGGTTGATTCTTTTCCCCACCCCTTTGAAGAGGGACCTGCACAGACGCTCAAGCTCTGCAGGAAGGGCGTAAAACTCCCTTTAAAGAAGAAATTGTCATCACTTTGCTGCTGGGAGAGGGCCAGGGATCTCCAGGCTGCTTAGCCAGTGTTAGCTCTAAAGGACGTTACAGCTGCTCCTGTTACTGTCTGGACCCACAGACGAACTCATGTGTGTGTGTACTTGTTACCTGCTTTAACTGCAAATCACTTGCTTGTTCTCTTTCCCTCGTTAATAAATCTTTAGTTAGTTAATTACAGGGTTAGCTGCAGGTACTGGTTTGAGGTGAGATCTGCGGTGCACTCGACCTCAGATCAGTGACTGGCACTGGATCTTGTGTGATCTTTGGTACAATGGACCAGCTCTCGCAAAGGGGTGTCGGCCTGGGCTCTCCACATGGTAAGGTATGAAGAGTTCACACGTGATTGGTGAAATCGAATTCTAGGACCTACCATCAGTTTGGGGCTTGTGCCATCTGTCCTGAGGCTGGTGCCCCAAAGCCCTCAAATTCCCCCTCCCCCCTGCCCATCCCAGCCCCTGGGGCCGCGCTCACACAGCCTGTCCCTGTGGATCTGTTCTGCTCGGCATCAGTAATGTACTAGGAGAAGCCAGAACTCCCAGGGGAGCCTCCAAACTCCCGGCCTGCTCTTGCTGGTCCTGCTCACCGCTGGAACGGAGCCTTCTCCTAGCCATCCCAGGGATTAGCTCTGTGAGGCTGATGCCCCTTCCTGTGGTCACACGTATCTCACCGCTGTGGACACTCCGTGCCTTGGCCCCCCAGCCCGGTCCATCTGCACTGCCATTTTCCATGCAGCATCCTTCCAAATCTCTTCTGTTGGAGGGGCAGCCGGCCAGCCTCACACCTGGTGCCTTGACCCGGTCACTCCTGCAGCAACCCCGTTCACTGCTCCACCAGTGCCCCTTACTCACTAGCGGTAGGGGAACCTGGGCCCACCCACTACTCAGGGTTCCAGCCCAAGTACTCTGCAACACGCAGCCAAGGTCTGCTCAGTCCCCAACCTTGCTGCTTCCCACAAGCTCTCTTCTTCCTCCCTCCAGGCCAGACCCCCAGGATCCCCCATACTCCCAGCGTTCCCTCCTGCCCTCTCTACTACGCCAACTTTCTCCTAGCAGCCTTTGCTGCTGCCAGCTCCCTGGGTTTAGACTAGCCCAGCCCACCCCTGCTCAGCTGTGCTAATTAGGGCTTTTCCTTCCACCCTGAATTGTCCCAATTTATTGCCTGGCCCACCTCTGTGCTCTCACAGCCGGCATGGGGAGCGCACCCCATCATGCCGGCCTCCTATGTAATCCCGGGAGGTGGGAAACCCACCTGAGCATCTCTGCTCTAAACCAGAGCCCTGGAATCAGGTTTCACATGGCCCCCATAGCGTGCCCAAGCCACTGGGTGCCCAGGGGGCATCTCTCCCTGCCTGCTGAGGCTGAGCTGGCGCCAAACTCCAGGGGAGGGCTCGTGGCTGAGATCCCTGAGCGGCCTGGCAGTCGGGGGTTTAGAGGCCCCTTGCCAGTCCCATCCTGGCTGCCCCACTGCCACGCTCCTGGGCCAATCGCCCCACTGGCTTATGCACTGGCTCCTTCTGCCCCATCTTGGCTCAGTGCCAGTCAGTCTAATATTTTTCCAGCTAGGCTGATGCCCAGGGAGGTTATTAGTGGAGCTAAAGAGCTCCCTTCTTCCCTCTGCCCCCCGATAGACATGAACGAACCACGCTTTCTTCATCAGCCCCTGATGGGCACTGAGGCAGAGCTAATTGGCAGGCCCATTCCCACCAGGACCCTAAAGCCCTCCCAGAGGTCATTAACGCCAGGAAAGATTTCCTCTGCCTGGAGGCCCCTGAGACATATGTGAGGGACCTGTATCAGACCCACAGCTCCACTGCGGAGCAAGGGAGCAAGTCATGGCGCGGTCCCAGGTTGGGCCACCCTCATAGGGTGGCTGGGCCTGGGGTCAGTCACAGTGGGCCACAGAGAGGAGTGGAGCAGCCAGTGGCTCCTGGGCCTCTTTGACTCTCTCAGTTCTGGGAAACAAACCCAGTCGCCTGAGAAAGGGACTGAAATTCTGCTGACACTGGGGGCTGGGCATGGTGCCCCCACTGCCTTTGGAAACCCTTCGGGCCGGGGGTTTCAGAGCACAGCTCGAACCAGGCCCATAAGGAACTGGAGAGACCAGCCGGAGGCCTCTTGTGAGGACAGCTTGTCCCTCATCTGCTACCGCAGTGGGCCAGTGCCTTCCCCTGACTTGGCTAGCACTCTCCCAGAGGGGCCGTGGGGACCGATCCAGGCGGGCAGTTCCCCAGCGCGATGGGCTTGGCTGCATCGTGGCAGCCCCATCCAAGCACCCAAATACCCGGTCTTGGCTGACGCTTTATCATGCCAAGCTCTCCTCAGCGCCCGCCAGCCCTCTCCCCATGACTGTCTCTCTTCCGCCTACTCGGCCAAGGTCGTTGTCCCCAGGACCGGGTGCCGAGCCAGGATGCAACCCCAGGGGATAGCCACTCCCCACTCCCACCCCAGGGACAGGCCTGGCCAGAACGGGGCTGGCCAAGGGGCCTGGGTCAGCCTGGTTTGGTTCCCATCCAGGACTCCTTTAGTAAGGCAAGGGAAAATCCGTGAGGGGTTCAGGACCAGATCTGCCAGGCTCCGCAGGGCAGGATTCGAGGACCCAGCAGCTAAATGACGTGGGTCCACTGGGCAAAGAGCACCAAAAGCACCTGGGGTTTGCAGTCAGGCCCTTCTGGCGTAGGACGTGGGGTGCTCTGCTGAGCTGGAGAGAGCTGGGTCCACCCACTCAGTGGCAGGAGCTGCTGGGTCCATGCGCCGAGAGAGGATGTGCACGGGGTGGGTCAGAGGAGATGAGAGGGGTTCAGATACTCTCAGAGGGGGCTGGCTGGGGTCTTGTAATCACAGACACAGCGGGCTGGAAGGGACCTCGCACGGTATCTAGTCCAGCCCCTGCACTGAGGCAGGGCCAAGTGACCCTAGACCAGTCCTGATGGTGGTTTGTCCAACCCTGTCTGCCACACAACGCTCCCATTAATCCAGCCATGACTCCTGCCATGACTCCTGCCCAGACTGGGAGTGGCCCAAGGAGTTCAGATACTCAGAGGGGAGGGCTAAAGGGGTTCACATGGGGATGGATGGACAGGTAACTTGGGGGACAGAGATGGGGGATGTCATGTGACAGCTGATTGGCGATAGGGCCTTCCCCCCGCCAGCCCGGATTCTGGAGGACCCCACTCAGGGGGTTTCACCCAACAGTAGCCAAGGGGGCAGGCGGCCCAGCACTGTCGCAACTGGCACTAACCGGCCAAAGACTCAACCCCTCCCTCCAGTATACAGTGGTGGAGGGTCACTGTGGAGTGGGGGAAAGACAGGAAGGGATGCAGAAATAGACCACACCCCTCACAAGCCAAGCCCCGCCCCTACAAGACAACACATCAGCCCGCCTCAAAATGCTTTCAAAGAAACTGAGCCGTGAGACCCCCTTGTTCTGTCATTGCTGTATTGTTAGCAAGGTGCAGCCGTGGAGTGGTCCTATGATAAAATGCAGCAGGGCAGGGAGGGGCAGAGCCGCCTGGTGTGGAGGGGAGCCAAACCCCCAGTTCACTGGGGGCTCCCCATTTCTGTGGCAGCTCTCAATCATCCCAGCTGCAAACTGAGCATTGGTAACAAAACACATCACTGCAGAAGAGCCAGAATGGTCCAACGTGGGAATGTGAAGAGGGGGCCGGCTCCTGCCTGCACCAAACATGGCTTGGTGCCTGGACAGGGTTGGGCAGCCATCCCCGCCTCCTCGGCGCTGAGCCGAGGGTTGGTCCCTTCCCAGCTGTGAGAAAGGGGGTTCGGATAACACCCCCGAGACGTTCCCCCGCCTGTGAGCAGGCGGCACAGGCTCAGGCGAACCGCCCAGGGGATTTAAGAGTGGCGTTCGCCATATCTCAGTCTACGCGGCCGAATGCAGGGTCTTTTGTGGGGTCACTAGCCAGGTGACACTCCCCAGTAGCACCAGCAATTGAGGCAGGTGCTTTCGGGTGGAGCATCCCAGGCTGCATCCCTGGAGGGGGGCATTAGTGGGGGTTGGAGCTGAGACATGGGCTTGGGCAGGCATCCCATGGTCTGCGGGACTCCAGCAGCCACGCTGTGAGCACCACAGGACACCAGGCTCGGACGCCCCCCCATGGGGGAAGGGATGGGGTCAGGGGCTGCCTGAGGGGGGCTCTGAGCTGGGATCAGCGTACATGGGAGCTGGGAGCAGCGGCCACAAAAATCAAGAGTGGGGAGCAGGCTGGCAGAGCAAGCCGTGGGGGAGCGGGCAGGGCAGCAGTTTGCAGTGGAGGCAGGTGCCAGGGGAGGGGCCCCTCCCCCGGCCGGCTACACCAGGCCATTGCCCTTCATGCGCTCCACCAGCATGGAGACCAGGCGCTCCAGCTTGAGAGCAGCTTGGCGCCCGGCCTCCAGCACCTCGGCATGGTTGGCCTTCTCCCGGGTCCCGTACTCCAGCACTGCCTTGTTGGTGATCAGAGAGAAGCCGAAGACGCGCAGGCCGCAGTGCCGGGCCACAAGCACCTCGGGCACCGTGCTCATCCCTGGGGGCAGAGCCTGTGTCAGTCTGCAGGGGGCGACAGAGAGCCGGCGATGCCCAGCCCCCGCCCGCAGCTGCTTGCCCTTCCCGTTCCCTCCTAAGCTCTGTTTGCCTCTTTCCCTCCCTCTCCTCCCTCCTATCCCTTCCTTTGCTACCTCCCTCCCTGTTCCTTCCCTCCCCGTTCCCTCCTCTGTCCCGTCCTTCCTCCCTCCCTTCTTTCCCTCCCTCCCTGTTCCCTATGCTGCCCCATTCCTTCCCGTCCCTCCCTCCCTGTTCCTTCCTCTGCCCCATTCCCTTCCTTCCCTCCCTCCCTGTTCCCTCCTCTGCCCTGTTCCTTCCTTCCTGTCCCTCCCCATTCCCTCCTCCTTTCCACTGCCCTCCCTCGGCTCACCTACGGCATCGGCCCCAAGCTGCTGCAGGAAGCGGCACTCAGCGATGGTCTCGTAGTTGGGCCCCCCCACGGTGCAGTAGACACCCTCATGCAGGCTGGGGCCATAGCCCAGCTCCCTGCCCACTGCCAGCGCCAGGCCCCGTAGCTGCTCGTCGTAGGAGTCCGACATGGCTGGGAAGCGGGGCCCGAACCTATGCAGGCAGGGGAGGGGAGAGAGCTCGTGGGGGGGAAGGAGACGGAGGCGCACCCCCATCCCTTCCCAGAGCAGGGAATGGCCCTGGGGTCCCTTGTGCTGGGCTCTGGCCAGGACTCAGGGTCCTGTCCCCACCCAGGGGCGCCCACCCATTTCCCGGGCTTTACACTGCTGCCACTACTGGCCATGGCAAGGGAGGAGCTGTAGGAAAATACTGGGGGGTAGGGGGCAGCAGGGAGGGAGGGCACTGGGTGCCCAGGGCAGCAGGAGGGGGCCGGGTGCCTGGCAGTGCAGGGCAGCGGGGGGGCAGAGCAGCACGGGGGGCAGGGACGGGAGGTGCAGGGTGCCCAGCGGGGGGGGGTGGGAGGGGCAGCTCCTACCTCTCATCATAGGGGCCGCTCAGCGGGTTGGTGCCTGCCAGTCCGGGCATGTTGATGTGGTCCCGGATCACCATGATGTCACCCACCTGATACCCGCGGTTGAGGCCACCAGCCGCGTTGGTGACAATCAGGGTCCCTGCGCCCAGCAGGCGGAAGATCCGCACCGGGAACGTCACCTGTAGGGGGGGAGGGGCATCCAATGCCAGACGCTACCCAGCCCTGGGTACCCCAATACAGCTCTGCTGGTGCCCCTCACCCCCAACCCGCAGCCCCCCTCCTCTCCCCTTTCCCCATGCCCCCCATTCCTGAATCGCAGCCCCCCTTCCCTCCTCCCATGCCCCTCACTCCTGAACCACAGCCCCCGCGTGTCCCTCACTCCTGAACTGCAGCTCCCTTTCCCTTCCCCCATGCCCCTCACTTCTGAACTGCAGCCCCCTGTGTCCCTCAGGGCCGGCCGTAAGGAAAATGGCACCCTAGGTGAATTTATATTTTGGTGCCCCATGAGTTTAAGGATGTAGTACTTTCACGACAGCGTGTTGGGGGGTGGGGCTGTAGTGAAAACTCTACCGTTTTTTTGCGGATAACTTAGAAATTAGCTGTTGATTTCACTGTACACACACAAATATTTCCATCAGTAATAAATTTACAAATAGGGAAAGCAAGAAAAATGCTGCTTGAAAACTTGTTAGAGTCAAAATTCAGTGATCTAAACTTCTGAATTGGGCTTGTTACAAATGGACTAGTGAATGAATAGTTAAATCAACAAATCCTTTCTGGTTTTCGGATAGTTATTTTGTATATTTTGACATGTGATACTGACACTTAGTGGGTTTTGCTGTTTTGTTGTAGTCATGTTGGCACCTGGATATGAGAGCCACAAGGTGGGTGAGGTAATATCTTTAATTGGACTGACTTCAGCTGGTGAAAGAGACAAGATTTCAAACCCCACAGAGCTCTTCTCCAGGTCTGTGAAGCTCAAAAGGGCTTCTCTCTTTCACCAACCAAAGTTGGTCCAAACAAAGATATTACCTCAGCCACCTTGTCTCTCTGTGTTTTAACAGCTTTAAAGCCTGAACTCTTTGAATCTCAAGTTCTACTGTTATTAAAAAGTTATCTGACCTGCCCCCGATAATTTCCCACAACTGTGAAAATTACAAACTATAAAAAGACAAAAAAGCTTAAAAATAAAGTTTATATTACACATCAACGTTATAAAAAAATAAAAAGTGCATTCTACCAAGCCTATTTATAAGCCAGAGCAGCAGAGTTGAAGTGTGTGTGTGTGTGGGCGGGGGGAGGGGGGGGGGAATGGGAAACACTTATGCCCAAATACATCTGTTAGTCTCTCAGGTGCCACAAGGACTAACAAATTTATTTGCGCATAAGCTTTCGTGGGCTATAACCCACTTTCTCAGATGCATGGAGTGAAAAATACAGTGGGCAGGTATAAATATACAGCACATGAAAAGATGGGAGTTGCCTTACCAAATGCGGGGTGAGTGCTAACGAGGCCAATTCAATTAGGGTGGATGTGACCCATTCCCAACAGTTGACAAGAAGGTGTGAGTATCAACAGAGGGAAAATTATTTTTTGTAGTGATCCAGCCACTCCCAGTCTACAAGCTGTCAGGAACAGTATCCCGATAATGTCACAGCAAACCTGGTAGCTGAGCTTTGTGACTTTGTCCTCACCCAGAACCATTTCAGATTTGGGGATGATTTATACCTTCAAGTCAGCGGCACTGCTGTGGGTACCCGCATGGCCCCACAGTATGCCAACATTTTTATGGCTGACTTAGAACAACGCTTCCTCAGCTCTCGTCCCCTAGCGCCCCTACTCTATTTGCACTACATTGATGACATCATATGGACCCACGGGAAGGAGGCCCTTGAGGAATTCCACCAGGATTTCAACAATTTCCACCCCACCATCAACCTCAGCCTGGACCAGTCCACACAAGAGATCCACTTTCTGGACACTACAGTACAAATAAGCGATGGTCACACAAACACCACCCTATACCGGAAACCTACTGACCGCTGTACTTACCTACATGCCTCCAGCTTTCATCCAAACCACATCACATGATCCATTGTCTACAGCCAAGCCCTAAGATACAACCGCATTTGCTCCAATCCCTCAAACAGAGACAAACACCTACAGGATCTCTATCATGCATTCTTAAAACTACAATACCTACCTGGGGAAGTGTGGAAACAGATTGACAGAGTCAGAAGGGTCACCTACTACAGGACAGGCCCAATAAAGAAAGTAACAGAACACCACTAGACATCACCTACAGCCCGCAACTAAAACCTCTCCAGTGCATCATCAAGGATCTACAACCTATCCTGAAGGACGATCCCTCACTCTCACAGACCTTGGTAGACAGGCCAGTCCTCGCTTACAGACAGCCCCCCAACTTGAAGCAAATACTCACCAGCAACTACACACCACACAACAGAAACACTAACCCAGGAACCAATCCGTGCAACAAACCCCGTTGCCAACTCTGTTCGCATATCTATTCAAGGGACCATCATAGGACCTAACCACATCAGCCACACTATCAGGGGCTCATTCACCTGCACATCTATTAATGTGATATATGCCATCATGTGCCAGCAATGCCCCTCTGCCATGTACGTTAGCCAGATTGGACAGACTCTACGCAAAAGAATAAATGGACACAAATCAGACATCAAGAATTGTAACATTCAAAACCCAGTAGGAGAGCACTTCAATCTCCCTGGACACTTAATAATAGACTTAAAAGTAGCCATTCTTCAACAAAAAAACTTCCAAAACAGACTTCAATGAGAAACTGCAGAACTGGAATTAATTTGCAAACTTGACACCATCAAATTAGGCCTGAATAAAGACTGGGAGTGACTGGGTCACTACAAAAAATAATTTCCCTCTGTTGATACTCACCCCTTCTTGTCAACTGTTGGGAACGGGCGATGTCCACCTTGATTGCATTGGTCTCGTTAGCACTGACCCCCCACACTTGGTAAGGTAACTCCCATCTTTTCATATGCTGTATATTTATACCTGCTTACTGTATTTACCACTCCATGCATCTGATGAAGTGGGTTTTAGCCCACAAAAGCTTATGCCCAAATAAATTTGTTAGTCTCTAAGGTGCCACAAGGATGCTCATCGTTTTTGCTGATACAGACTAAGGGTATGTCTACACTACCCACGTTACGCAGCAGTGCCCCCACGCTGTGCCGTGGGCAGTACAGACACGCTTTATCGCGGGAGTGCGATGGTAGCTTTATCACCAGGAGTGCGGCTCCCGGTGATAAAGCGTTGTCTATACTGGCGCTTTTCAGTGCTAAAACTTTTCACACCCCTGAATGTTTTTTCACACCCCTGAATGACAAAAGTTTTAGCACTGAAAGTGGAATGCAGACACAGCCTTACACAGCTACCCTGCTGAAACCTATCCCCACTAGAGTTCTCTCTCAGCTTAAACGCCTGATTGAAACTGTAAATCACAACCACCACACAGGTTTCAGAGTGGTAGCCGTGTTAGTCTGTATCAGCAAAAACAAGGAGGAGTCCTTGTGACATTTTAGAGACTAACAAATTTATTTGAGCTTAAGCTTTTGTGGGCTATCACACATTATCCTCAGTTCCATCCTCACACTAACAGCAGGAACCCGTGACTTCCAGAGGATGAATTAGGTTTGCAGGATATGGGATTAAGATGGGAGTAAAGAAAGGAGTTTCCTTATTCTTAATCTTGATGCAGCATTGAAATGTACACAACATTGTGCTCAACAGTTTAGACCAGGCCCTGCCCCAAGGAATTTCAGTATACTGTTAAGTACAACTTGTAGTGGAAACAGAAACTGTTGAAAAAAGAAAGCCTGAGGGTATGGGTAAGCAATCAGGGATTGAATGAAAGGTAAATGGGTTTCAAGGAGGTCACAGCAGGCAGGCAGACACCACCCACTGTGATTCCCATACCCACTCCTGTTCAGGTTGGGGGTAGGGGAGGAGGCACATGGGGGCGTTGATCTCAGTGTCACACTCATTTATCTCCTATGCACCTCCCTGCCTGACTCTGGGGAGGCAGCAGCCCCCCTGGGACCAAGAAAGTGAAGCCTCTGAACCAGGGGAGCAGGGAGGACAGGACCTTCAGCTGCTGACAGGGGGGAGAGGGCACAATTTAAAGGTCCCTCTCCATCAGCTGGAGTGTCATACAGCGCTCTCCCCAGGCAGCCCAGCCTTCCCCCTTGCCCTCAGGTCCCCTATGGGAAAACAACTGTTCCCTCCTCCCTCCCATACCTAACCTCTCCCTGCAGAGCTGAAGCAGCAGCCCTTCCTCCCTACTGCTCCCCGGTGCCTCCAGCAAGCAGGGGAGGGAGAGATCAGCAGACAAATCCTGGCAGAAAACTGGGGAGGAGGGGTAACATGACCCCGCGCATGCCCCCCCATGTGTCAGCTCTCTGCAGCGAAGGGATGGGATGGGAGCAGGCAGGCTGCAGCAGCGCCCCTCGTGGTGCTCACTGTGTGGAGCTAAATATGCGCTCCAGTCCTGCGGGCAATGCCAGGGGAAAGAGCAAGCCCTTCCCTGGACAAGTGGGACTCTTAGTGGGGAAGGGGAAGAGAAGGGGGGGTGGACCCTGGCCTGCTCTACACTAAAGCACAACCAGAGAGCTGGACTGCTGCAAGCCCCCAGTCAGCCAGAACACACAGAGACAAGCTGCACACACACTCCTCCTTCAACACCATCCCCCCACCCCCGACATCAGGCAGGACCCAGCACAGCCTGCCCATGGTGTCTACAGGGGGCCCCCTGTGCCAGGAGAGTGGGGGGACCCCACCGGGCACCCACCCCTGCTCCTGCTCCTCTGGGTGAGTGAGTGCCTCAAGCTGCAGCTTGGATGTGTGTGTTTTTCTCTCTCTCCCCGCCCACCCTGGCTGGGCTGGCAGTAGGGCTTCCCCTCCTTAAGCCCAGCTGGCTGGCCACAGGTAAAGTCACAAGGGACCTATCAAATGCGCCCCCATCAGCACCGTCGCCTTGGGCAGTTGCCCTTATCGCCCTGGTCAAAGGCCAGCCCTCACTCCCGAACCGCAGCTCAGCTCCCCTCCCCTCCCCCCATGCCCCGCAATCCCGAACCACAGCCCCCCTCCCGTCCCCCCATGCCCCTCACTCCTGAACCGCAGCCCCCCTGTGTCCCTCACTGCCGACTCGCAGCTCCCCTCCCACCATGCCCCTCATTCCCAAATCGCAACCCCCTCCCCTCCCCCCTGACTCCCAAACCACAGACCCCCATTCCCCTGTGCCCCTCACTACCGACCCACAGCCCCCTGCTAGCCCAGCCCTGGGCTCCCCCCACACCACCTTCCCCACAAGGAGCCACTCACCTTCCACAGTGGGTACCCCTCATACATGTGGAACCGGCCCTTCATCACCACGCAGCTTACCCCCGCCAGCATCCCGAACACCAGCTTCCCAGCATGGCCTGCCACTGCCAGAGACGGGAAAGGGTTAAACGCCGGCCCCAGGGCATCTTACACAGTGTAGGTCCTGCCTCGCCTCTGCACCCCCTGCCCCTCACGCTCTGCACCCCCTCGCCCGCTGCACCCCCGCCCCCACCACTCGCCCTCTGCACCCCCCTGTCCCTCGCCCCATATTGCCCATTATACAGTATAGCGGCCCTTTCCCCTCCCGCACCCTCTTCTGCCCCTTGTGCCCATTGTACAATATAGCTGCCCCTCACCGGGTACCTGTGCTCTGGGGAAAGTTGGGAATGTCCGTGTAGTTAAAAACCACTGGATCCTTCACCAGGTCAGCCAGGCCCCCAAGGCCAGAGCCACAGATAATGGCCAAGCTAGGCCGGTGCTTGGTGTGATCTAGCAGCCATTCGGCTGTTTCCTTGTGCTGCTCATACGTGTACCTGCTGGGGGAGAGAGACGCAAGAGAGTTAAAACGAGTCATGTGTTTACACTGCAGGGCCAATCCCCTCCAGCAGGGGGCGCAGGGATATACACACACACACACACACACACAGAGCAAGTCCGATCCCCTCCAGCAGGGGGTGCAGGGACACACACACACTCATTCACACATATATACATACACAGCAGGGTTGATAACCTCCAGCAGGGGTGCAGCCACACACACAGAGAGTAGGGCTGAATCCCTCCAGTAGGGGGCGCAAGGACACACACACACACACACACAGCAGGGCCGATCCCCTCCAGCAGGGGTGCAGGGACACACACATACTCACTCACACATATATACACACACAGCAGGGCCTATCTCCTCCAGCAGGGGGCGCAAGGACACAGGGACACACACACACACTCATCCAGCTCCCAGCCCATCTCAGCGGCCTGGCAGGGGCTGACATGGGGCGGGAGCGCGGTGCAGAGCTGCAGGGGTACAGGGGGCTGGAGCCGGGCTGGGCCAGAGGGAGAACACCAGGGTGGGAGCAGTGGCCACGGTAGGGCAGGACGGAATTGCAGAGCAAGGGGAAGAGACAGGGCCAGAGGATGGGCGAGGCGCCAACCCCAGGGAGGCCAGGGCGAGGGCAGGGACCTCTGAGCTGCCAGGCTCCTGAGCTGGTCCTGCAGGGACCTGCCTCCTCTTTGTCCCTAGGAGAAGGGCCCCAGCCTGGCAGGACACGGCACTTTACCAGCACCATCCACCCTGCGTGGGCTAGCGTGGAAATCTCCCCCCACCCCAGCTTTGCCGGTGCCCCTCACTCCAAACCCGCAGCCCCCACTAGTCCGGGAGATAGCCGGGGCCTGATCTCCTGTCACTGGAGGGTGGAGAAGGGTGCTGGGGGTAGGCAACCTGCACAGTCAGGCAGGCTGGCCTGGGATTGCTCCCTGGCCTGTTGATCGTTAACTAAGGGGTATGTGGGGAGGGGCGGGGAGCAGGGTCAGCTCAGGCCACTGAAGGGGAAGTGGCTGCCCCAGGGGCCCATTACTCCGCAGGACCGGGCGCTAGCAGGGCACCACCTGGGCGGTGGTTTCCCAGAAAAGAGAGACGTCTCTGCCCCGATCCCTGCCGGTCCCCCCTCAGCCATTATTCTGCAGGGCCCTGCGCTGGCAGGCTGCCATCTGGGCGGTGGTTTCCCGGAATAGAGAGACGTCTCTGCCCCGATTCCTGCCGGTCCCCCTCCTACTCCCCCACAATTGAGTCATACACTGGGTTTTGGAGGGAAATGTGCCAAGCTGGCTGTTTGGGTCAGGCGGCTTTGACTCATCCGGGTGCTGGGGGAGCCTGGAGGCGCCATAAACATGAGAATCTGGTCTTAGCAAGGGGTGGAATAGCAGGGCGCCGTGGGTTGGGACTGAGGGGCACCAGTAAACTCTCCTTGCAGCTGCCAGTGGCTGGATCAGAGCCAGCACCCCCTGGACTGGAACAGCCCCATGCCTCATTCCCCGCCCCCCCTGAGCCAGCCAATTCCCCCCCACCCCACCGCCAGCAGGGCATTAAGGGGTTAGGGAGAGTCTCACATTCCCTGCAGGAGCAGATGGCCCCTCACCCATTACGAGTGGGTCAGAACTAGCCCTATTGCACCAGGCTGGGGTCACTGTGCAGGGCTCCGCACAGCTAGGGGCCCTGGGCTGCAGGGGGAGTACAGCAGGGGGCGCTGGGCAACGGGGGGATATAGCAGGGGGCACAACAAGGGTGCTGGGCTGGGGGGCCGCAGCCAGGGGAGTACAGCGGGGGCGCTGGGCAGTGGGGGGGCACAGCAGAGGGTGTTGGGCTGTGAGGGCACAGCAGGGGGCACTGGGCTGGGGGGTGCAGCAGGGGGCACATCAGGGGGCTCTCTCCCCAGGCAGACCATTTGCCCTAGAGCAGTGGTTCTCAAACTTTTTTACTGGTGACCCCTTTCCCATAGGAAGCCTCTGAGTGCGACCCCCCTTATAAATTAAAAACACCTTTGTATATATTTCACACCATTATAAATGCAGGAGGCAAAGCAGGGTTTGGGGTGGAGGTTGACAGCTGGCGACCGCCGATATAATCACCTCACGACCCCCTCAGGGGTCCCGACCCTCAGTTTGAGAACCCCTGCACTAGAGGATCACCTCAGACCCTCCCTGGGGTCCTGGCCCCAGTGCCAGCCGCTGTCAGTGCCAGGGCTAATTGAGGCTCCCCCAGACTGCCCGGCACACCCCACAGCGCCAAGACACCCCCTCAGGGCATCAGTGACAGAGATCCCAGGCGACCTGCTCCCCCCCCCCCGTAACCACTAGACAGCACTCCCCTCCCATCACTGGGGATGGGACCCAGGAGTCCTAGTTCCAGCCCTCCTGGAGAGGACCCAGGAGTCCGCCCCTCCCCCCGCGCACACCTGCGCTCCTCAGACGCTGCCGGCTCCATGGCGGGTCCGGGCGATGCTGAGCCGGGCGCGGCCGGGCCCGGGTGACTCCGCCTGCTTCGCCCCGCCCCCAGCCCGGCCCCGCCAGCCGCAGCCCCGCTCTCTGCCCCGCTCCGGCAGAGCCCCCCACCCCGCCCGCCAGCCAGCAGCCGGGGAGACCCCCCCCCCCACCCAGTCCCCCAGCACCGGGGAGAGACCCCCATTTTAGCCCCCCATTCCCAGCGCCCAGGGGAGATCCCTTATTCTAGCCCCTCAGCGCCAGAGACACCCCCCTTTCCAGCCCTCCAGCATCAGGGGAGATTCCCCCCCTACTGCCCCACCATTCCTAGCCCCTCAGTGCCCAGAGGAGACCCCCCCATTCCAGCCCCCCAGCATCGGGGGAGACCCCATAATTCTAGCCCCTCCCCATTCCCAGCCTCCCGACGCCAGAGACACCCCGCAATCCAACCCCACTACTCCCAGCTGGCCGGCAGCAGACACCCCCCCAATCCAGCCCCCCGGCGCCAGAGACACCCCCCTTTCCAGGCCCCCTACTCCCATCCCCGCAGCACCAGAAACACCCCTTTCCAGACCCCGTACTCCTATCCCCCCAGCACCAGAGATATCTCCATTCCAGCCCCACTATTCCTAGCCCCCCAGCACCAGAGACACCCCCCAATCCAGCCCCCCTACTCCCAGTCCCCCAGCGCCAGACACCCCCCTTTCCAGACCCCGTACTCCTATCCCCCCAGCACCAGAGATATCTCCATTCCAGCCCCCCAGCACCAGAGACACCCCCCAATCCAGCCCCCCAGTGCCAGACACCCCCTATCCAGCCCCCCAGCGCCAGAGACACACCCCTTTCCTGCCCCCCTATTCCCAGCCCCCCAGCGCCAGAGACACCCCCTAATCCAGCCCCCCTATTCCCAGCCCCCCGAAGTCGAGGAGAGACCAGACCTCCCGATATTCGGGGATTTCTCTTATACATGTAACTGTAACATCCGCCGCCCCCGATTGTTCACCCTCTCCCAGCGCTGGAGCGACCCCCCGACCTCCCGCAGAACGCCCCCGCACCCCACTGGGGCCGGGGGGCTCGGCCACAGGCTTCCCAGGCAGTAAACGGCGGGCTTTTACAGCGGGGCTGGGGCCAAGCTGAGGGCTCGGGGGGTGGCCCCTGCCCCCGGCGTGCTCAGTCCCGCCCCATAGGCCGAGTTCCCCCTTCCCCCGACAAGGAGCCTGGAGATTGCGGAGGGCGGGGCTATAAGGAGGGTCGTTGACAGGCAGTGGGAGGGGCCCTGGCAGGGAGTGGGTATGGCCAACGGGGTGAGGCCCGGCTCAACTGACAGGGGAAACAGCCAACGAAGCGCACTGCGCCTGGAAGGCGGGAGCGGAGCAGCTAATGAGGGCGGGGCTTGGTGGGTCGGGCGAGTTCGACGGTAGCCAATGGGCGGGGGCCGGAGGGGTCGTGCGAGATGTAGTTGCTGCTTCTAGCCAATCAGACGGCGTGAAAGCGCTGACGATACGACGGGCTGAGCGATTGGCCAATCAGAGTTTTCATCATGTGGGACTGATGGCCAAGGTCCAGCCAGTAAGAGAAGCCCCCGGGATCATGTGGGGGAAGGCGCCGTTAGTCGAGCCATTCAGGGAGCCCAGTTCGAGTCACATGAGAAGGGTGACGAATCCAGCCAATGGGTGAGGAGCATTGATGTCACGTGCTGGCAATTGGCAGCCGCCAGTCAATGAGAGAACGGCTTGAGCTCACGTGATGTTGGTGTCACATGACTGCTACCCGGTCGCCTCTTGGCCAATAGGCGGCCGTCTCCCTCTCACGTGACTCAGGACATTGCTGCGGGGAGCCGGGGACGGGCGCTACGGCAGCCGGGAAGCGGCGATGTCGGGGGACGGCGAACGCTCCCCGTTGCTGCCCGCGGAGCTCGGCGAGCCGGGCACTCCCGGGGCGGGCGGGGTCCTGGCCGGGCCTGGCGGGCTCGTGCCCTCCGCGCCGCTCCCGCCCTACGGGGGTCCCGCCGCAGAGAAGCCGGCCCCGCCCCATGGTGAGCGGCCCCGCCCCCACGACCTTGCAGGGGAGAGGCTAATGGGCGTGGGGGAGGGGCGGTGTGGGCGGGGCTAAGGCTGAGTGGGCAGGGCTGTGGGGTCTACAAGTTCTGGGGAGGGGTTAGGGGTCTTGATCGATGGGGCGGTAGGGGGCTGCAGCTGTCAGGGAGGTCTTGGTGGGCGGGGCTAAGGGAACTGGGAGGAGCTATGTGGTTTGTTGGGTGGAGCTAATGGCTGGAGGGTGGGACTGGGGAGGAGCTTTGGGAGGTGAGTGGGGCTAAGGGGCCTAGGGCAGGCTGACTTGCAGGTGGCTGTAGCCTATGGTTCCCGCACCCAGGCTTCCCACCATTCCTGGATGGGCACCCAGCTGTGCTGCATGGCGAAGACCCCCCGCCCTACTCACCCATGGCCAGCCCCGACAGTGGCAGCACCCCCATGATCACCTGCCGCGTCTGCCAGAGCCTCATCAACGTGGAGGGCAAGATGCACCAGCATGTGGTGAAGTGCAGCGTCTGCAACGAGGCCACGGTGAGCTGGGCCCCACTGATTTCACAGTCTTCCTGTGGGGGGCTGGATCTCCCATTCACCTCCCCGTGAGGTCCCACTACCCTCTTCCCCCACCATATGCCTGTCTCTGTCTCTCCAGTGAGCCCGGCAGGGGTCCCTGAGGGGCCCCCCAGGAATGGGAGGGATTTGGGGGTTGTCTGTCGGCCCCTGGCACGAGGTGTCAGGGGATGGTCTCTCCGTAGAGCTGGAATGGCAATTCTCAGCTCTGAAGACTCCCTTGGGATCTGGCTGGAGCTGGGAGACCCCGAGGCTTGGACCAGGGGAAGTGGAGCAAAAGGCCTGAGATTGCTGTGCCCCCTCCAGAGCCAGGGGTGGAACCCAGAAGTCCTAGCCTCCAGCACCCCCCAGGCTCATGCCTCCTCTCTGTTTCTGCCGCAGCCGATCAAGAATGCCCCCCCGGGGAAGAAGTATGTGAGATGTCCCTGCAACTGCCTGCTGATCTGCAAGGTGACATCCCAGCGCATTGCCTGTCCCCGGCCCTACTGGTGAGCCATGGGGGGGGTCCCAAGCCGTGCTGGGCAGCGAGGAGGGGTGGCACTGAGGGCACGTTGGGCCTGGGTGATGCTTCCCGGGGTACCTGAGTGGGAGGAAACCTGTCTGTGCCCAACTGGCCTTAACTTCAGGAATGCAACTTCCAGTGTAGACACAATCCTCTCGCTCTCAGCCATGCAAATGTCTCACATGGTGAATTAGTGTGCAGCTATCTGACCCCGGGGATCCCTGTAACCTCCTGGCCACACTCTGTGCCCCCTACCTGTTGGCACCAGCGGTCCCTAGGTCACAGCCTGGCTTGGTACCCAGGACAGGGCAGGGCTCCGGTTTCATCCCTGTTGCTTTCTCTCACCTGCTGCAGCAAAAGGATCATTAACCTGGGCCCAGTGCACCCGGGGCCTCTGAGCCCTGAGCCCCAGCCTGTGGGAGTGCGGGTCATCTGTGGACACTGCAAGAATACTTTCCTGGTAAGCAGGGGCAGCCAGGACTCCTGGGTTCTGTCCCTGGCTCTGGGAGGGGTGTGGGGTGTAGTGGGTTCAGCACGGGGGCTGGGAACCAGGACTCCTGGGTTCTGGCTGTGGGAGGGGCGTTGGGTCTAGTGGGTAGAGTAGGGAAAGCTGGGAGCCAGGACTCCTGGACTCTATTCCAGCTCTGGGAGGGGAGTGGGGTCTAGTGGTTAGAGCAGGAGACGGTGAGGCTGGGAGACAGGACTCCTGGGCTCTGGCTGTGGGAGGGGCATTGTGTCTTCCTGAGTTCTGGCTGTGGGAGGGGCATGGAGTATAGTGGGTAGAGCAGGAGGCTGGGTGTCTCATGTATGTTTCTTTCTGGTTCTCATTCTTCCAGTGGACAGAGTTCACAGACCGCACCTTAGCCCGCTGCCCACACTGCCGCAAAGTGTAAGTTTCTTGCCCTGAGACCCATTGCCCCGGGCCACAGCTACAGGACAGAGAGAGACCTGGTCCTGGGGGTGGGGCTGGGCCCATGTGGGCTGGGGAGGCTGAGGGGTGGAAGGGGCTGTGAAAGCGAGGCCGAAGTGTGGGGTCTAAGGCCATGGGGAGTGGTTGAGCTCAGAGGCAGGCCTTCTGGGTTCTCTCCCCAGCTCTGGGGAGGGGTATGGGGTCGAGTGGGGCTGGGGGCCAGGACTCCTGGTTTCTCTCCCTGGCTGTGGGAGGGGAGGGGGCCAGGACTCCTGGGTTCTCTCCCTGGCTCTGGGAGGGGAATAAGGTGGCAGGGGACCAGGACTCCTGGGTGTCCATGTCTGACTCTGACTCTCTCCCCCGCAGCTCCTCCATCGGGCGCAGGTACCCCCGGAAGAGATGCATCTGCTGCCTCCTCCTAGGTGTCCTAGTGGCGGTAGCTGCCACAGGCCTAGCGGTGAGTGTGTGACCGGGGCAGGGGCAGGGGAGCGGGCCGTGCTGACGGAGCCTTAGGACGGTCTAAGTCGCCGTGCTGCCCTGGGAGAAAGGGGGCATTGAGTGGGGAAGGGTCTTTTGGACATAGAACCCAGGAGTCCTGATCCCAACCCCCCTGCCCCCTCAACCATTAGAACCCCCCCTCCCCGCGCAGAGCCGGGCTGGAACCCAGGTGTCCTGACACTGCTGTCTCTCTCTGCGCAGTTCGGCACGTGGAAGCATGCCCGGCGGTACGGTGGGATCTACGCCTCCTGGGCGCTGGTCATTCTCCTGGCTGTGCTGTGTCTGGGCCGGGCCATGTACTGGGCCTGTATGCGAGTCAGCCATCCCGTCCAGAACTTCTCCTGAGCCGCCCCCGGCCCCTGCTGTGGGGAGCCCCGCCCATCTCAGCCAGCTTCTGCCCAGCCCCCTGGTCCGCTCCTGTGCCCCTCGCCTTGGTCCTGCTCCCCTCCCATCCCGCCTGAGCAGGAGACCCCCACAGGACGTGACCAATGGAGGCAGCTGCGGTGGTATCAAGGGCAAGGGGCCCCACCAGCCCAAGAGGGCAGTTGGACTATGGTAGCTCTGTCTGGACCAACCCAAGAGGGAGTTGGATTACAGTGGCTCAGCTGGGACCTACCCAGCCAAGGGACGCTGAGTGACAGAGATGGGACCTGACACCCGCCCCCCAGCCAAGAGACACTGGGCAATGGAGATGGGACCCCCTTTCGCCCCCAAGGGACACTGAGCGATGGAGCTGGGACCCACCACCCAGGAGACTTCACGCACCCGAGGGACGCTGGGCGACGGAGCTGGGACCCACCACCCCCACCCGACGGACACTGGGCGACGGAGCTGGGACCCATCACCACAGAGACCTCACAGACCCAAGGGACACTGGATGACGGAGACGGGACTCTCCACCCTTGAGACCCCGCGCACCCAAGGGACACTGGATGACGGAGACGGGACTCTCCACCCTTGAGACCCTGCGCACCCAAGGGACACTGGATGGTGGAGCTGGCACCTACCAGCCCCGACACCCTGGGTAACAGAGCAGCGACTCTCTGCCCAGGATGAGGTGGCCAGAGGGAAGAAGGAAGCCCCCATAGCTGCCAAGTCACTGGGGGTCCCATATCCATCCTGATGGGGACACTGCCACACCCAGCACCCCCTTGGCCTGCAGGGAAGTGGGGCGGGAGGGGGGCCCCCCAGCTGTGGGGGCATTGAGTACATTCTGGGGGGGCTGGGACCTACTGGGGACGGGAGCTGACACCAGGGACAGGGGTGATGAGTAGGATTCAGCTCACTGCTGCTTCATGGTGGGTTCATCTCTTAGGCCACTGTTCACCCCACTGATCTGTGCTCTGTCAGGCCTGCCCCCCAAACCAGCCAGTCCTCTGCCCTGGGGCCACATCAGAGCTGGTGCTCTCTTGAGGGAACAGACCCCATGTCCCATTCCCTTCCTCCCTGAAGCAGCCAGTCCCTGCCCTGGGGCCAGATGGGAGCCGGTACCCCCTAGAAGGGAAAGGCCTGTGCCCTAGCTCTGTTTAGGGACCAAAGCTAACCTTTATTTGGGTGGGAGAGCTGGAGGGGAGCAGCCCCTGCCCTGATCCTCCCCCACCCCACCCCGATGCCCGGGGGAAGCTGCTCTGGGTTTGCTCTCTTCCCCCCCCCCCCCCCCAGCTGCTCTGGTTCTTTGCACATTCCTGCAGGGGAGCCAATGGGTAATGCCCCTGTCGCATGGGGCCCCTGAGCCTTCCCAGCATGCCTCCGAGCTCCCCCACAGGGCCACCCCTTCCCATCCAGCCCCTGCTCCGACTGGGCTGATCGCTGCAGCCTGGGGAGCAGAGCGCTGCCCCTGTTGCCGCACGTGGGGGGTGTGATCCTAACTCAGCCCCCTAACTCCTCCCCTCCCTGCACGGCCCAGCACCAGCTCCCTTGGTTGGGGACCCTCAGGGGGATGGGGCAGTGGGGTGGAAAGGACTGGGGGTGATCTGCCTGGAGGGTTGGTGATGAGGGGAGCCTGGTGCTGGCCTCCCCCTCGGGGAGGGAGAGCAGAATGTCTCCGGCCTCGGTTCTTCAGGGATCTTTGGGGGGCTGGGAAATAGGGTTCACCCCCTTTCCCAGGACTCCCTGCTGCTCTGGCTTGTACATACTGACCACTCCCCTGTACATAGCTATTTAAATCCAGCCCCAGGCTTCTTCCCCCATTTCCCCTCTGCCCCCCACCCCGTGCAGTGCTACTTTAAGCCGGTGTGTCTGTCCCGGGGGAGGGCTGGCCCAACTGATGGATGCCCTCACAGTGTAAATAAAGAGATTCCATACGGCACCTGCCTGCCTGGCTCCATCACTCTGCCCCATGGTGACCCTGGCGGGGGGGGGGGGGGGAAGAGGGCTAGGTCTGGGGGTCCCATTGCCAGCTTGAGAGCCCGCCAACTCATTACACCACAGGGGCAACAACAGCCAGGGACAGCCACTGTGGTTGGAGCAGGGGGGCCCCATACTTCTGAGCCAGCCAGCCCGCACTGTGGGGCCTGATCTGAGCTGGTACCCCCTAGAGGGGAAAGGCCCTGTGTCCCATTCCCTGCCCCTGAGCCAGCCACTGCCCTGCCACAGGGCTGGATCGTGGCCGGCGCCCCCTAGAAGGGAAAGGCCTCATGTCCCATTCCCCACCCCGAGCCAGCCAGTCCCCTGCCATGGGGCTAGCGCCCCCTAGGTTGGCAGTGGTTGAAGGTATCTGAGGTTTCCAGCTAGGGGGCTGATTGGAGCTCAGTCCCCTGAGTGCTGGCAACCCCTAGAGCCTCCTGCTCCTGGCTTGGATGGGGATTTCTGGGAGGGGAGTGGGGTCTAGTAGTTACAGCAGGGGCCTGGGAGCCAGGACTCCTGGGATCTCTTCCAGCTCCGGGGGGTGGGAGGGGCAGGGTGTGTAGCAAGAGTCCTGAGAGAGAAGCGTCCTGTAGACAGGCTGGTGTCTCCACCAAGCCAGGGCTGGATCCACCCCTTTGCTGGAGACGTGGGGGGGCCCCCTGAGGGTGTCCCTCTGTAGGACCCCAACTCCTCCTCAGCCCACGTATGGCTGAACCAGCTGCAGGTGGATTAAGGCACCCCCTGTCCATGCCTTCCTCCCTCCCCAGGGCTCTGCTCACCAAACCTCTCCTTCAGGTGTGGAGTTGGTTCCCCCAGAGCAGTGGGGCTGGGATGGAACACCCCATTGAGATGTATGTAACAGTTCCCCCTCTCCCATCAATAGGTTCAGGCTCTCGGCAGAACCAGGCAATGTCAGTCATGCTCATGGTTGCTTCCCCCATCACCCAGCAATGGGCTCAGGCTGTCGGCAGACCCAGGCAGCATCAGTCACACGCAGAGCAGCTCCCTCTTACCCAGCCATTATTTCTGTAACTGGAAGCTGAGTGTCTGCGGGGATCCCTCCGTTCTAGGCTGTGATGTCCCAGGCAGGGCCTTCAGTCCAACTCTGCTTCCCCACAAAGCCCCCCTTCACTCGCAGCTGCCTTCTGCGGGACCCCAGCTAGAAAGGCCAGTGGGCAGCATGAGGGTGACTGTCTCCCAGCTCTGCCTCACTCTCCCCCAGGGCGAGATGAAACACAGCATCTCCTTTCAAAGCCTTTAATCAATGCTCCTCACAGCTCCGTGCCCCCCCGCAAAGAATGGGGGGCTGGTTTAAAGGCAAGGCAGCAGCTTAGTTCTACAGGTAAAAAACAGTTCCTGGGGTGAGGAATTCTCTGGAGGCTAGGATGGGGGGAGGTTGGTATAAGGGGGGTTGCTTGGATGGCCCTCCAAGTTCAGGGGCCTCCTGGCCTCAGACTGGGGGTCACTGGGTGAGTTTGGGGGTTCAGGGCTGAATTTGGGAGGCTCATGGTCTTTCAGATGGGGAGGGATCTGCTGATATTCTGGGATTTACTGCACCAGGGCCCACAAGTTGGGGGGTTGAATCAGGTCTCATTTGGGGGGAAGTCACCCCTGATCTTGGGGGCGGGGGCTTTCCCTCTACTCTACCCGGCCTCACAGGGACGTATAGGGGCATGTGAGTCCAATCCTTTCTTGCTCACAAAGCCATAGAAGTGTACGGGCCACCCTGCTCACAGGACTAGAGAGAGAGAGAGGGTGCAGGGCCACATACGGCCATATGGATCCCCCACCTCACACAGGGCCATAGAGAGGTGTATGGGCCCACTCCCACAGCTATAGAGGGGGTGTTGAGCCCATATCTAGCTGTATGGCCCCAACCCCCCCGTCATAGGGCCATACAGGGGTGTCAGAGCCATAGCAGGCTGTATGGCCCACCCTCCTCCCGCCCTCCTCCCAGGACCATACAGGGGTGTTGGGACCATATCAGGCTGCTCACAGGGCCATGTAGAGGGTGACGGGGCAGTGGTCACTGCCCATGGCCTGGGAGCGGATCTTGCTGTCGCACAGCGCCCCCAGCAGGCGCATTGAGACCAGGAAGTAGTCAAGGCGCCAGCCCACATTCTTGGCGCGGGCATTCATCATGTAGGTCCAGAAGGTGTAGGCGTGGGGCGTGTCAGGATAGAGGTGGCGGAAGGTGTCAGTGAAGCCGGCTGCCAGCAGCTCCCCAAAGCCCTGGCGCTCCTCGGGCGTGAAGCCTGCCGACTTCTTGTTGCCCTTGGGGTTCTTCAGGTCGATCTCGGCGTGGGCCACGTTGAGATCCCCGCAGAGCACCAGGGGCTTGCGAGCATCCAGCCCCTGCAGATAAGCCCGGAAGGCGGCATCCCAGCGCTGGCGGTACTCCAGCCTCACCAGCCCCCGGCCCGCGTTGGGCACGTAGGCCGTCACCAGGAAGTGCGAGGGGAACTCGGCCGTGATCACACGGCCCTCCTGGTCGTGCTCCTCCTCGCCTGCCGAGAGACAAGGGGCTTGCGTCAGAGGCCAAAGGGGAGAGGCCCTGGGCATAGGGGGCATGGCAAGGGTCAAGGGAAAGGGACAAGGGGAAAGGCCAGAGGGCCTGTTTGAGGCTGTAGGTGGCACAGAGAGGGATTGGCAGGCAGAGGGCCTGGCAGTGGGCAAAGAGGGGTCTGCAGGCAGAGGTTGGTAGGGGGTGTGGTGAGCAGGGAGCATGGGCTCAGCAGGCAGAGGCTGGGGGGTGGGGCAGGTCCCTACCAATGCCGTAGGTGATGCTGAGCGGTTCTATCTTGCAGAGCAGAGCCACCCCGCTGTAGCCCTCCTTGGTGCCGGCGCAGGCCCAGTACTTGTGGGGATACTCGGGCATCTCCCGCATCTCGGGGGGCAGCAGCTTCTCTGCACACTTGGTCTCCTGCAGGCACAGTACATCGGGGTCCTCCTCATGCACCCACTGCAGGGGGAAAGCGGGGTCAGCGGGGCTGGGAGCCTTTCTCTGGGAACCTCATAGGATGAGGAAGAGAACCCAGGTTTCCTGCCCCACAACTCCACCCCACTTCCCTCCGGCTCATCCCCTCCCTCGGAGCACCTGTGTCCTCCCTGCCCCTGGCCGTGGATTTCCGGTGCTGGTTGCTGGGGACCAGCCGGACCAGTGACAGCACTTTCAGGCCAGTAAAACCACTTCCACGCTACGGACAGTCACAGATCCAAGGCCAGAAGGGACCAGTGGGATCATTTCGTCCAACTGCTTGGATAGCACAGGCTGGCGAACCGCCCCGCAACAATTCCTAGCGCAGAGCTGTTCAAAATTGCCAGGGATGGAGAATCCACCACGACCCTTGGCACATTGTTCCAATTAGTCACCTTCATTATTGTAACCCTTATTTGTACCCCTTATTTGTACAAAAATGTACCCCTTATTTCCAGGCTGCATCTGTCTAGCTTCAATTCCCAGAAGTAAAATAACCTCTCTGCACCTACTCCAGATTTGCCTGTTTCTTCATCCCGGAGTCGTATGACTCCAGCGGGCCCCAGCAATGCCCTACGAGCTCCTACCCAGCTGCTTATCCACCCTCATCCCAACCCCCAAATCTTTTTCAGACTTCAGACCCATTTGAACGATCCCACTGGAACCAAACTGGGTACAAATCCAGTTGTGGACCAGGCTCGAGGGAATCAGCCATTCATGAACCCAAGTTAACTGCTTCAGTTTTTTATAGCGGCATCATTTTCCCCCTGTCCAGCAGGATTTGGGGGATGACGAATGTCAATTTTGAGTTAAAATTTCATTCTGGGTTAGGAAAAGCAAACATGTTTGGAAATTTAGGACACCCCCATGCTCCAATCCCCATTTACCAGCCAGGAAATGTAACAGAGGCAGGATGCCTAGGATTCAAATTGCCTGTTTTTCCCCTATTCTAGGATGTCTCCAAGAGTCTCTAATTTGGAGAAGAGTTAGTGAGTGCCCAAGGGACCTAGGAGTCCGGGGCAGTAGAGCGGGAAGGTCCACTAAGAAGCTGTGCGTCTCTGCCATTACGTGACTTTTCCAACACAAGCCAACATTCCCACAGCCCAGCCGTTGTTCACTGCGCTCAACTTGGAGGCACAAAGCAGGAGAGGAAAATGGAATAAATCTAAAAATCCAAAATTTCTAGATTTGCAAAAAAATCCTGAAGTAGTGAATGTGGGAATCCAAACTCCAGGTGGAAAATCTGACCCATGAAATACACTGCGAAATCCCCCGCAACCTGGAAGATTTTTTCGGCAGGGAAAAAATCCCAATCCCTAACTCGGCTAGAGCACTTCTCAGCAGAGCTCAAAGCCCCTTCCAAAGGAGGTCAGAATCCTTATCCCCACTGCATAGGTGGGGAAACAGGCATGGGAAGGGGAAGGGACTAGCCGAAGGTCACCCGGCAGGTCAATAGCAGAGCTAGGGAGAGAACCCAGAAGTCCTGGCTCCCAGCCCCACTGCTCTGACCCACTAGATCCCACTCCACTCCCCTCACCTAGCTGGGATAGAACCCAGGAGTCCTGGCTCCCAGCCCCCTCTGCTGTAAGATCTCTAGCTGTAATCACAAGGCCACACTGCAGCCTCTGCAGGGCAGGGCCGTCCTTACCCATATGCAAATTTCCTGGTGCCTTACGCAGCTGTGTGCTGCTCCAGTGGCAGCCCATGCCAGCCAGGAAAGCTGCTCCTGCCCTGCTTCTTCCCCATGGCCCCCGCCCCTGCTCTGCACCAGCACCACCCCCACTCCACCCCTTCCCCTAAGCAACATCCCGGGGGACTACAGCAGGGGTCAGGTACGCCCTACATTCATGGGGTAGCAGGAAATGGAGCGACCCAGCCACAGCTCGCTCTGCATCGCTGGTGTGTTCTGGGGGGCAGTTCCCCCCTTCCCCTCAAGTCCCCAAGGCTAGGAACCAGGGGAGCAGAACGGAGCGGGCTGGGTCA